GCCTGTCAGGTGACCCCACAGTGGCTGTGCTCTTCTAATCAGAAGAGCCTGGAAGAAGCAGCCTGGTTCTGTTGAGCCCCTCAGTCCCAGCATCAGCACTGGGGAGAAGGGGAAGCCCAGCTCAGCTTCTGCCACCTTCATCCTAGACCAGTGGTATTGAACCTATGGCACACGTGCCACAGTGGGCTGCTTGTATCACTGAAATCTCTGAAAGGTTCGCCATCATTGTACTAGCCTATCCAGGCACAGGCCCCCCGATGACCAAGACACAGCCCCGGCAGGCATGCTACTGCACCCATGTGCCAGGCCTGCCAGAGCATAATTTTCTGTCCTCCTCCCTCTATTCTACAGGCAACAGCTGGAGACAGAGAAGAAGAGGAGAGAGACTGTTGAGAGGGAGAAGGAACAGATGCTGAGGGAGAAGGAGGAGCTGATGCTACGGCTGCAGGACTATGAGGAGAAGACCAAGAAAGCAGAGAAAGGTGAGGCTGCACTGCCCCGCGATGGTGTTTGGTCTCCTCTCTTCCCACAGAGAGGCAGGCAGGGTCTGGACAGTGGTGGGGAGCAAGCTTTAGGAACACATGTGGTACTTGACATGTCACCCGGAGATAGAGACGTGGAGCAGAGAAGCAATGACATGGTATTGAGACTGGAAAATAACTAAACCTGAGTAAGTTCTGTGCTAATTGAGTTTCCCCATAACTCTTTAAAGTGAGAACTGACTCACCCCATTTTCCTGATGAGACTATTAAGGATCAGTGAGACAGTATCAGCCTATAGTCACTTGGCCCAGGAGTGGCAAAGCCGTGCTGCACCACCTTGACCTTCTGGACTTAAAACCAAGGGCCCTCCGAAAGCCACACATCTACACATGTTGTCTAAACATAGCTCGATTGTGACAGCGCCACTGTTGTTTCAAGGATCACACCATACCTCTACCCTTGGGGCCTCTGGTGTGTTCCATAGCACAGCCGTGGCTGTTTGCTGGCAACCAGGAAAGATCTTGGCAGGGCTTTTTCATGTTTCAAGCAAATGCTGAGGTGGGAGCAGGGGTGAGAGTGAGACCCTTCTAAATAGTGTGGTACCAAGAGGGTCAGCCTCTGCCTGAGAAGAGGGATGTCTGACCAACCAGGAACTATGCAGCGGTTCCTAAGCATCTTGAAGAAGTTGTCATAGGAACATTACAAGGAGCCGTGCAGTAGCCCTGGAGGAGGCTCACCTCCTGTGACTCAGTCCAGGACTTGGTTCTGGGAGAGATTTCTCCCATGTCCTTCAGTCCATTCTGGGATGGGATGGTGTGGGAAGGGAAGATGAGGGGCTCTGCATCCCCGGCCTCGTGTTTCAAGCAGCTATGGTTTGTTGTTCTCTACAGAACTCTCTGACCAGATCCAGAGAGCCCTCCAGCTGGAGGATGAGAGGAAGCGAGCCCAAGAGGAGGCCGAGCGCCTGGAGGCCGACCGCGTGGCTGCGCTGCGGGCCAAGGAGGAGCTGGAAAGACAGGCAGCAGATCAGATAAAGAGCCAGGAGCAGCTGGTAAGGATTGCCTGGGTTTCAAGATGCTGAATTATAGAGAGACTATTCTGCACCAACACCTGCCTTGTGATGACTTTCATCAGGGGCTGTAATGGATCTTCCCGGGGGAAAGGGATTTGCTGTCCTATGAGTCCCAGGCAAAGAGGTATATGTGGGCACCTGGGATCCCACAGAGATACAGGGCAGCACTGACAGGCCTTGCCAGCCATGAGGAGGGAGAGGGGTAAATGGAGGCCATTTACCAGCACACGTGAGCATTTTTTTTCACAAATGGACTCTACCCAAAGGACTTCATGTCCCCTTCTCTTCCAGGCTGCAGAGCTTGCAGAGTACACCGCCAAGATCGCCCTGCTGGAGGAGGCGCGGCGGCGCAAGGAGGACGAGGTGGAGGAGTGGCAGCACCGGGTGAGTGTGCCCCAGACCCACACAGTCCCTGAGGCACCCGTGTGACAACTCCTTGAAGGTGGGTTGAGAGCAGGATCTTACATATTGAGAGCATCAGCGATGTTTCACTGTTTTTTGCCAAACCAGCTGTACTGAGGGAGCAGAAACCCTCCTAGGAATGGCCTTGACCTCGTACACACGCAGTGAGCCTGGCTCTGGGACTAGCAGAGCAACAAGGAGTGACTTACTCGTTCCTGAGCTTTGCTCCTATCACCCTGTGTGTTCAGCCACAAGAACTACTTTTAAATCCAACTCCTTAGATACCACCTGCAACAGGCATCATCACAGCCTAAAACAGGACCTCCTGGCATGGGAATACATTTCTGGCCACCGTGGGAAACCCAGCACTGGGCAGGTCTTTGGACCTGAGTAAGAGTCCCTGCTCATCCACTCAGATACCTGATGAGCTGAGAAGGTAGCCTTAATCAGAGCCTCAGTCTCCTTACTCTGTAATAGGGTCAATGTCCAACCCAAAGTGTTCCCTATAGGTTAGAAATTATATGTGCAGCTCACAGGGGTTGATTAAGCTGTAGCCGCACTCCCAAGACTCACGCAGAGACTTGTTCCTCCACCTGTGGCCTTGCATGCCTGTAGTCAGCAGGGGGTCTAGATGTGGTTCATACCAGCAACCTAACACCAAGCCTCCAGAGCTCCTGTTCCCCAACCCCTCAATTCCTTTAGCCTGGTGCCTCCCTTTGCCTTCCATTCTCCATTCTTGATCCCCAACTACAAACAGAAGATTCTTAGGTTTTTGAGAAAGTAAGAAAAGCTAGTTGTATTGCAGGTCAGACGAAGTTTGTGTCCAGGAAGAGAATGAAGGTACGTGGGTTTGGGTTGTGTCTCGTGAAGATGCTAGGTGAATTCATGGATGGGAAAGTACTGAATAGGCCCAAGAAGAGCAAGACCACATGCTAAAACTTTACAGGCTTCCTGCAGTAGCTGGAGGATTTTCAAAAATGTATACAGTGAGCACGTACTAGGAATACAGGCAGAAAAAAGTGGTGTTTTAAAAAATTTCAAGGCTCTGACATGGATTTTTTTGTGCCATGGTCCTTGTGTTGAGCAGTGCTGTAGCTGCCAGGATAATCTTGGCATGGGTATAAGAGAGTCTCTCACCTATTAACTTGCTTTCCAAGGCCAAAGAAGCCCAGGACGACCTGGTGAAGACCAAAGAGGAGCTGCACCTGGTGATGACAGCCCCACCACCCCCGCCGCCGCCTGTGTATGAACCTGTGAGTTACCATGTGCAGGACAACCTGCAGGAGGAGGGTGCGGAGCCCATGGGCTACAGCGCTGACCTCTCCAGCGAGGGCATCCTAGACCACCGCAACGAGGAGAAGCGCATCACCGAAGCAGCGAAGAATGAGCGTGTGCAGCGGCAGCTGCTGGTGAGTGCGGGCCTGGCTTTCATTTGCCCCTTCGCCCATCCTCAGGGTCGGGTCACTGATGTCTCGGGAGGGCAGGCAGCTGACTGACTGCCACTGCTTCCTCTTGTAGACTCTGAGCAACGAATTGTCCCAGGCCAGAGATGAGAACAAGAGGACCCACAATGACATCATCCATAATGAGAACATGAGGCAAGGCCGGGACAAGTACAAGACCCTGCGCCAGATCCGGCAGGGCAACACCAAGCAGCGCATCGACGAGTTTGAGGCCATGTAGAGGCCAGGCCAGGCAGTGCACAGGGCGCCTGGCGCAGGGCGCTGCCCAGAGGGTCTGGGCAGCCTGGGCACACTGGCTCTTTAGTACTTTAAATCTAGAAACCCCCCTCACCATGTTCCAGGTTCCTTAAAGAGCAGTTACCCGGTGGAAGTACTCTGGGCCATGTGCCACCTTGGTTATTTTTCCCAGCTGTATCATAGTGCCAAAAAGGCCTGATTTTTTATAATTAGCGAATCACTTCCTGTTGTATTCTTGGAGCAGGACTGATGGAATTAAGATGCCTGTAAAATCCAAGTACAAACTTTACACTGGCCTGTGTGCAAGGTTCAGTCTCATTAAAGAAAACCACATCGTGGCTTACATCTGTGCCATACTTCTACTCTTAAAATAAGCTTACACTGATTGATTTGTTCTTGATTTCTATGAAGGATTCATCTCTGTATATTTACTTGTTTTGAGAGGTAAAAAATTAAGTCTAAAGTAAAACCCTGTCCCACATGCAATGATTTCCTTTCTCAAGACATTCTGTTCAACTGGCAGAAATCTGCCATGGTCACTTGGGAGGGATGATATAGGAGGACTTGCCAGTAAACTTGGTTTTTTGCTTAAACAGTTAGAAGAATACATTGTTGGACTTAACACCTAACTAATAATCAGGTATAGAGTATAGTATTTATATGTAAGTGATAATATGGGTTTGTAACCTTAGTTTTAAAAAGGGAAAGTTTTGTTCTGTATATTTTGTTACCTTTTACAGAATAAAAGAATTACATATTAAAAACCTCATAACTATGGCACTTACTCTGATGTGATGGGAGGGCAACAATGAGACTGAGTACTTGCTATGATCACATCTGTAAAAATTCTAGTGTTTATGTAATTGCACATTTCAGTTTTTCTGTGTAAGCTTGTCTGAAATGCACCATAAGATTGAACAGATTCTAGCCCTAATGAGACTGACCTATTTCCTCCAAGAGCTGTTCCCATGTCAACTGTCCTAAGCCACTAGCTCTGCTCATTCCTGCTTTGCCCTTTTTCAGTTCAGATGTCGTATGCAGATGTGAATTCCAGGCCACAGACATACTAAATGGAAACACTCCATTGTGCAGTGGTGGGAGGCCAGCTTAGACTTCCCAGGTTCCTCTAGTCCAGTCAGTTTTGCTGTGGGAGGTGCCCTCTCTGTCCCCTGGGCCCTTGGTTTCCGGCTGGAAACACCACAACATCAACTAACTGGCCTGCAAAGTTTCCACAGGAGAGCAGGCGGGACTGAAGACGCAGCAGGCTCATCTTTTTCCCCCTCTGAAATACACATAACAAAGCTGGGATTTTCACTGTTTGATTAAACATTGGGAGAGACTGGAAACTGTTGAACATTTATTGAAATCTGGCCATTTTCCACAACCTTCAAAAAACAGTAATCTCAGAGTGATTTATGTCATACTGATAATTGCTCTGTTGAATTACAGATATGATGGATATTTTAGGCATTGACACGTAACTCGGGTGGAGTGTGTAATCCTGAGGGTCTTGTCCAGTGGTGATCCCACCCCGCTAACTCTCAGGCGCGCAGCATTTCCAGCACACTCACTGTAGCCTGGAGCTTTGAGGCTTCACTTCAGTGCAGGGTAAGTGTCATATCTGTCCATAAGTTGGGGCTAGAAAGAACTTTCTGCCATTGAAGCTTTGATTGTGAACATAAATCTGTGCCACCAACTGCATCTCCCTCTGTAATATGAGACAGACAGATTAATGATGTGGCTGAGGACACCACCCTATTCCTTCTGAGCTTTTAAAAGCAAGGACCAGCAAGGTGTATTTTTCACTTCACCTCAAGATCATAAGAAAATACCAAACATTAAGAAGAAAAACCCCCAACAGAATCAGTGTTGAGTATGTACTGAGGTATTTCTTAGAACCAATCCCCATTTCCTTCCCTGTAGTGTCACAGGGCTTGGTAGCTTTTTTTTTTTAACCTAGAGGGGTCAAAATCTCAATACCGAGGCTATGGATGGTAGGGAAACCAGTTTTGTTCTCAGAAGGGATTTTCATAGGAAAGAGTTGTGCTTTGCACAATATTTCTTTAAATTCACTGGTCTCTTGAGGGTCATTAGAGAATGTGTGCCAGTGTCTGTTGGTCATATACCATGTGTGTGGCAGTTGGTGGGCAAGGTTAGGGCACAGAACACCCCACCAGCAAAGGGCTGCCCACATACAGTGCCAGAGGCACCCCCTCTCTCTAAGCAACACTGAATAGTGTCCCTGTTTGTACTATTCTCAGTGAAGTACTTTCTAAATTGCCATTTGTTTGGGTTAAGATATTTTCTGTTAATAAAATAATCCTCTTATGATTGACAACAGAAACAAAAGCAAATACTGTACCTTGCCCATTTTGAGATCTATAACCTGTTTCTTTAGCAGATCTAAATCTGATTTAAATTGTCAAAATACTTTGCTGTATTATTGCTCCTTTGTAGACTAAGGAATTTCTATTTATGGCGGGCAGAGCCTGTTAAATTGCCGTTGTTATGGAAGCACCTTTTCTTTTCATGGTACCCATGCAAGACAATCACCAAGAACAAAGCTATCACTTCCACCATTTGAGAAGCACTGGGTGACATAGTGCCCATGGAATATCTTAGACTTACTTGAACCAAGTCTGGCTCCCCCCAGCAAGCGATCATTCATTCCAAAAATGGCCTGGTCCCACACGGTTAATTCCAAGCTTGCCTGTCTCAGCTGAGACCTGGTCACACCATTGAACACAAAGGAGTGTTTCCACTGGGGACACGCTTGTTTCTTCAGCACCGGGGACTTCAGACGCAGTTTTTGTTGGTCTGGCAGAGTGAGGCAGCTAAAGGGAAACACAGATGATGCTCTGATGGTGGCCATGCATACAGCCCCCTTCTACTGTTGATACTTCTGCTTGAGTGCAAACTAAACTCCAAGTGCTGCATCCAACATAAATAGCATTCACAGCTGTGAACTGGGTGGGCACTGCAAGACCTGGCCATGGCCCTTTGCTAGGATTTCTTTCAGCGCTGGATTCTGCCTCACGGATTACCCTTCATTTGGAATTCTGAGGCCACATGGTTCTCACTGTAATACTATCACCATTTGATGGCACAGGCTGTGCTTCAGTGAGGAGGGCTCTACACACGTGATCTCATTTTCTTCTGTTCTCGGAAATAAATTCAAAGACGCTAACTGAACTTGCCCAGGGCCTTACTCAGAAGTGACAGGATTAGGACACGAGTGTGGTTCTGTCTTTAAGGCAGGCTGTCATTTTCCTGTTCCCTCAGTGCCTGGGGATTCAGCCTTCAATATAATTAATGTTGTTTACTTTGGGGGATATGAACACACCTGCACTAAGAATGGTGGACTCGTGCATACATGTCAGCTAATCCAAGAGAACTTTTAAACTAAGGAAGCATTTACTAACACTACTCTTTTTGTACTTAATTTCAAAGCTGATTTATTGATATAATAAGAACAAGATAAGAGCTTAGGTTAAAACACTATTCCAAATCAAGTCTCAGCATGTCCAAATTCCATAATTCTTGGAAATCTGGGTCTTTAGTAGCTATGTTGGATTTTCTTAGGAAATCTAAAATCAGATGAGTCCAACATGGCTTACACTTCGTCTAACATGGCCTACTACTCAAGATAATCGATACACAGTATTTGGTTACTAATACCTACCCTTTAACAAATGAATTTAAGGTACCATCTGACCGCACAGGTAAATTCTTGGCTCCGAGCACTACCAAACAGAGTTGGCCATTAAGTGATAGCTGATCTCCTGGAAGAAAAGGACTGTCAAACCCACTTTTGAGACTTCAGTGTGCAATACCACCACCCAAAACTGAATGTCCTAAGAAATGTCAAAGCCACCAAACCCCATGCAGCAGGTAGGAAAAGGAGCATTTTCCCTAGAAGGCGCTACTGGCCCTTCCCTGAGGCTACCCACGGTGATGACAGGATGCAGGCACTGACAAAGCCCAGGAAGGCAAGAACCCACAAATAGACAGGGAAGGTGTAGGCCAGCTATCACCAGCAGTTTTGGGGAATCTGGGAGCCCCAAGTCCAGCTTAGAGGGTATGGATAACCAGAATGCTCGATGCTGGCCTGCTAGTACCCTCAGAGGCAGAAGTTTCTCTTTCTTCCCACCAAATGGTCACTGTACAATGGAAATTACTATGCTTGTCTTCCTTTTCTGCCCTCCTAATTTCCATACACTGCACATTATCTAAGTTAAATCCATAATATCCTCAAGGACCTGTCCCTTGATTCATCTCACCTGCTGGGCAACAGCTCTTTCCTCTGAGCCTTGCAAGTACCAGTGCCCTGAGTTCTCTTGGCTCCTTATAAGCTAAATTCCTCATCTATAATATATCCTAGAATGTAAAGAGGGGCCATGGTTTCACCAGAGACTGGCCAGCCTGCCACTGGGAGGGAAGCCTTAAAGCCAGCGTCTTTAGAGTGGTATAAATAGGCCCTGGAGGCCTGTCCTCAGCTACCCTGCTAGGGTTTCTGGGGAGCCACCCCCCAGGCTGCCTCCATTTGGTGTGGGATCAGCGGACAAGAGGAAGGAAACACTAGCAGACTTCTGCCCCTCCCTCAGCATACCTGCCCTCCAGGTTTGGGGGATAGTGACAACAGGCAAATCCTCAGAGGGCTGCAAGTCACCTACCTTCTTGAGCCTCCTGGAGCTTTCTAGGCTCTGTAGGAAGGACTAGTTTGGCCCGAACAGCAAGTTCGCCATTATTCTGAGGAACACTACTTTCATATTTTTCAGCCTGTGGGCAATGGGCAGAGGTTAGGAGGAGGACTGCCCCCCGCCCCCCAGAACAGGCTGCATGCCTTGAGTTGCTCAGCTCGGTCCACAGTGCTCCCCTATTACCCCTGCATAGTCCTTCGGGCTCTCTCAGGGGACTCGGATGGGGTGGACATGTCTATGCTGGATGGCTCTTTCAGCTGTAGTGACACCCCTGCCACCCTCACCACCACCCCAGCAAACCAGAGGTTGGCAGGCCCAAGTAGGTAGGCCTGTGGGAATAGAACAGTCCTAAGAAAACCTGGCACAACCTGTTTGAAAAAAGTAAATAAAGCAAGCCTACCCCACCCCTACCTAGGTCAATAAGACTTCCAGCTACCCCTCCTGCATGCCAAGGTCTGCGACAGGCACCAGAAATGCCCAAATCCATGATAGCTCTTCAGGCTTTGGGTATCTGGCCACATCTTGTCCTGACCCCTGCTGATACCCTCCTGCCTACCAAGGTGGTTTGTCTGGTAGTGGGTGATTCTGTCAGTCAATGAAAAAAGGAAACTGTATAATCTCATTAGTCTTTCACCAAGAGGATGAGAGCTGTATACTAGAAAGGGTCCACATGCTGGGGTAGATCCCATTGGCAGAGAAAAGCAACCCTCAGGGTGATGGCAGAAGGCCCAGGACTCCTGAAAGCCTGTGTAGGCCAGCCTTGCCCATGCTGAAACATGGTGTTTGGCTCTTGGGTGGCAGGTAAGATACAGCTGCTACCACCCTCAGCATGTGAAAAGCAGGCACCATCCCCAGACCCCCCTCCTGGGAGCAGGCCTACGAGGACACAATCCTGTCCGGCACCAGGTCGAATCCGTTAGCTGGCACAGGAGAAGTGCTTTTTTGCTCGGCACTCTACTACTAGTCCACTTGCCAAAGAAGGCTCTGTTTGACACAACCTTGGTGTTGGCCTATCTTATACGAGGCCCTGCACCAGGGGCTGGCAACAGATATCTTCCAGGGCCTGTTTTCATACTGACGAGAGAGGAACAGGGGACATAGGATGTATCAGGGATTTAGCCTCTGAAAAGGGAGTCCCCAGTTGAGGAGCACACTCAATCTCAAACCAGATATCACCTTGGCTTGGAGTGGATACCAGTGGAAAGACTGTGTTGCACTGTCTTCAAAGTCCCACGTGGCCAGAGGAACAATCACTTCTCCAAGGAACACCCTTCGGGCAAGTGTGCCCAGGTGCCACACGGAGACCAGCAGCTGCCGGGTCACCAGCTGGGCAGGATCCACCTGGTACTGCAGACACACAGGGAGGTGGTCAGTGGATTCCCAGGGCTGAGCCCCAAGACTCAGCTGCAGCTAGGGTCCCGCGTGGTAGAGTGGGCCAAGCTGCTTCAAGCCAGGAGACAAGAACAGAGCGCTCTGTCAAGAGCTCCCTCAGGCACCAAATGCTCTGTGCTTTACTGCCACCGAGTCCCCTGCCCACCCCTTTTTCGCAGAATAATACAAAAGTGAAAGTCTATCCAGCCAGAGGCACCTGGAAATCAAGCTAAGGACTTGGCAAGGTAAAACTTGAATTTGCATCTGACCAACACTACAGCCAGCCAGGCTTATCCAAAAATGCTAAAAATAGGGGCTGGAGATTTAGCTCAGCTGCATAAGCGCCTGCCTTGCAAGCAGGGAGTTGTGAGTTCGAGCCCTGGTACCAATAAAAAGGAAAAAGACAAAAAAAGCTAAAAATTGGGCCTTAATTTTTAAAAGATGCAACACATTGGAACCAGAGATATAGCTCACTGATAGAATGGTCTAGTATGTTTGAGGCCCTGGGTTCCAGCCCCAACACTTTAAAAAAAAAAGGGGGGGGGGGAGTACAAAGTATGAGCTTTACCCCAGTTTGTATTCCCCAAGCAGACACAATGGCACTCTGGACTGAGTAGGCACTTTGGCATCAAACTGTCCTTAGGAGTTCAGGACATGGACAAGAGTGACAGGAGAATCTTCTTCCTCCACCAGACAGCATTTTCCCCAGGAGCCCAGAGGCCAAAGGCCCCTGAGTGTAGAGCCCTGTAGTCGTGCTTGAGGTGTGGGCCACACTGTGAGCTGGCTAATTTCATCTCAGTCCCTCAGAGTCTTGTTTTAAACTAAACAGTTGAATTTTCTTAATAATGAACACAAGTTACTGAATTCTCCTTTTTAGCTGGATCTTAGATATCTATTGATCTTTATCTTTCAAAGCATCCAGTGAGGTCAGTATTTTTAGTCACCATTTTGCCCTTGAAAACACAGAAGCCTAGAAATTCCCGCGCCTGGAAGCTGTCCTCCCTGGCAGGCCAGCATTGTTAACTACTGTGTTTGTCATCTACTGAGCTCTCCCTGCTGGCCTTTGTCCTGTGCTGCCCCCACCCCAGTGCCTGCTGGGGTTTGAATCTTGACCCCTAGGGCCACTCCTGCCTGTCACGAGGCAAAGGCAGGCACAGCCACGTAAAGCAGATGAGTGTTTTGTTGCTTGGGTTCCATATCCTCTCCTGCACCTTTAGCCCAGTTCCCTTTGACAGAGAGATAACTTTTCTCAGACTCTAAAGGGAAGGAGCAGGCAGTGGGTGCCATCTCAGCCTGCACCTTTTCCTTCCCCTGCTCTTGCTGTGCCCTTTAGGTCAGTAGTTCTGAGCCACATTCCCTCTGTAAGACCCCCCTGGCTGGTTTCACAGCTTTTCCCTTCAGTCACTGGCCCATTTCTGAGTCGGCCCGGAAACACGGCACTGACCTGTTTTTCCCACGAGGCCCATGCCCAGTCATTAAGCCCAGCGCACCAGTCTGTGTCTGCTGCCCCCTGAGAAATGATGCTGTCCCAGGAAGAGTGTGAAGCCGTGGGCAGGGGCTTCCTTCTGTGCTGTGCTCCTGGGGCCAGCACGCTTAATATCAACTGCGCTGCCACTAACCCTTGCTGAGCGCCCTCTGACACTCAGAAATACTTCTTGTCCTCACCAACTGATCACCCCTGACAAACAGGACTGCCACCTTTTTGCTATGTCAAGTAAGACTCACTTTTGTGGCCACAAGCCGGCCCCAGTGGCCCTAAGACTGTTGCAGCCCCACGAGGTCTGGCACAGAAGGTGCCCCAGAGAACGGGGACAGGCGGTGTCAAGACCATATCAGACCTGCTGTGTCAGTTCACCCTCCCAAGCTCATTCCAAGGGTTCCCAGGTATGTATGAGGTCTGTCAGAGTCCAGAGGTCCCCAAGAGAGCGCAGTGCCCAGGACACCTGGAGGCTGCATTTCTAGACGCTCAGCTTTCATGTATACTTTTCTCAAAATTAGCCAGAGGCAGGTCTCATGGTCCACCCCTATCTTTCCCTGATTCCTTCCCTCCGGCTGTGCAACCCTCCTGAGTGCCAAACCAAAGGGTGTTTTGAAATACTAGTTTCTACAAGCCTTTTTTGTTTTCCCCTCTGGTACTGGGGACTGAACCCAAAATTTAGTGCATGCTAAGCAAGCACTAGACCACTGAGCTACATCTCCGGCAGTTTGGTTTTTGTTTGTTTGTTTGTTTGTTTTTGAGCCAGGGTCTTGCTAAATTGCCAAGGCTGGCATACATGAATTTCTTTAAAAAAAAAAAAAAAAAAAAAAAAGCCAAGCATGGTGGTACGTTTGTACTCCCAGAACTCTGGGCAGCTGAGGCAGAAGGAGCAAACCTCCAAGCCCAGCTTGGGCAATTTAGCAACTTAGTGTGATCCTGTCTCAAAACAAGAAAGAGAGAGACAGAGACAGAGGTTAAAATTTTAAAACTGAACTATATAATTAAATATTTATCTAAAACAATCCTCTTCTCTAAACCTCTAATTTGAAATGCCTTTCTAAATATATGATGAGGAATTTTTCATATCAATTTAAAAGTGTGTGGAGCTGGCACAGTTTGCAGTTTTCCAGATTCTTCCAGCAGGTGCAAGAACTGCAGACCAGGCTGCAGCCAGCGACTTGTCTGTAGCTCAACTGGGCTAGGCCAGTGGCATCCCAGCATGCAATGGAGCTTGTGGGAACAGTGGCATCTCAGACCCCACCCACACCCGCTGAGTCAGAATCTACAACTTCTAAAACTCCCCAGAGGGTTCCTACGCAGATGCAGAGGAAACTTGAGAAGGGCTGCCAGTCTAGCTTGGCTTCAAGCTAAGTACTTCTAAGTACTCTCTAAGTCTTGGTTTCCCTGTTAGAAAAGAAGGATTCTAATGTCTCCTTCAGTGTGTATATAAAGCCCTTGGCCCAGCAGGGCCCACGAAACAATGGCTATTATTATTTAATGAACTCTGGGCTCCGAGCCAGCCACCCAGATGGCCCCTGGCTGGCAGTTCACAGACACCCTTATTTGCCAAGGAAGGCAAACAAAGCCTTCTCCTATCCACAGCCAGCATGAGATGGCAGGATTTCTGGGCTGCCCAGTTCCGACTGGGGCGTCCCTCAGCCTGGCTGCCCTTCTGGCTGGGACTCCCAAAGTCGGTCTGCCTCTGCCAGGCTAAACTTTGCTTCTCCAACCCAAACCAGGTCTACCTAAGCTCCATTCTAAATCATAATCTCATTTTTTAGCATTAAAGTAAAAAACATAATTCCTTTTTCCTTCCAAAAAAATAACTTTTTCATTAAAAAATGAAGAAATCTGGATTTTTCATGTATTACAATAAAGAATCACTTCTACAAAGATAGTGACTCATCCATCTTGTTTTCTGGGGCCCTTGTTTGAGCATGCCTCTGTGATACTCATACAAATGCAACAAAACAAATCAATTTTTAAAATCACTTTGTGCCTGATTGTCAGCCTGAGACACAGAGGCAGCCAGGCTTTTTCCTCCCCATTTTCTCAGAAATCATTAATCAAAAGCCATTTGCAAGTCCTCCAGAGTTTGCACTTTTCCTGTACAAAGGCTACAATCTATTTTCTATCAATTTGCCACTGATTGACAGAGCCACAAAGAAATGCATTACAGTGTCTGCACTTATATTTAACTGACTCAAGAGTTTGAAAATAATCTCCTGTTGGACTCTGATCCGCATACTCAGCCTGGGAAAGGTAGGGCTCAGTGCAAGAATGTTTGTCCAAGTACCTTCAAGGTCTCCTGAAAGGTTGGGTCCAGTGTGTTCTTCTGGACACCAGTCTTGCGCTTCCCCTGAGAGGACCTGTCAGGCAGCAGGTACGTCTTTACATACCTGTGGCCAAAAGCAGAAGGACAAAAATGAGAGCTCAGCAAGGGGGCTGACCAAAAACCCCAAGAAGTAGAACCCACACATCAGCCTTTTCTTCACACTGCTTCCTTCTGGATCTTGAGATGATAGAAAAGACTTAGTGACCAAGACTGACATGGGTCATATTAGTGTTGGGTGTACAGTTTCTGATTCACAGACTTTGGACAACATTGGCTATATGATCCCTGTGAAATATTCCTGGGGGAGGACAGTGAAGCTCTCCCTGCCTTGCTCATACCCTATTCCTGGAGTCTGCATCCCCTCCTCCTCTGCCACTTGATGACACCACAGAACCAGATTCTTCACCTTGAACAAATCAGCCGCACCCCAGCTTGCCCCGCCTCTACCTCCACCTGTCACTGTCTTTCAACCTCAAAAACAAAGAGGAGATGGAAAGCTTAAGATTCACGCTTTTTCCTTAAGCTTCAAAGACTATTCTTCTCTGCTGAGCTTTGAACTTTTGTATAAAAAAACCTGCTCATATGGAGTCTTCTATAACTTGCTTTTTTCACTTAAAGTATGAGATTTATCTATATGCTGTGTGTAGCTATAGCTCATTCATTTATAATCCTTCATAGGGCTGTATAGCACACGCCCATCATGAGTCACTTACCCTCCTGAGGAGCCTTTGTCTCATGTCTTAGTCTTGCTATTATAAACAGTTCTGCTACAACCGTTACACTTGGTCCTGGTGCACGTATGCAAGACACCAAACCAAGAACGACAGGGTGTGTGCTTTTTTCTTTTGGTGTGTATACAGGGTGTTTAAGGGACTGGGGTTTGAACCCAGGGCCTTGTGCATGGTAGGCAAGCGCTACACCTTTGAGCTATACCCACAGGAACCTCAGGAAATTTGGAATAGTCTGTTTCAGAAATGGTCCCTCTTATATCTCATAATTTGAGGGACATTTCTTTTCCTACCATTACTTGACTGCTGGCAATTAACATAGTGTACCAAAAGTTTTCCATGTAGAAAAGAAAGGCAAAAATGAGATTTTGCATTAGGCCATACACAGAAAATCGATTCCAATTCTAATAGGAAAGGCTCTAAAGTTTAAAATATATATATATATTAGAAGAAAACGGAGAAGAATATATTCATAACCTTCAGTTGGCATAGGAATTCAACACATACGAAAAAGCAGAATTTTTTTGATTGGGATTTTTGTTTCTTTTTGTTTTGGGTCCTAGGGGTTGACATCAGGAACTTGTACATGCTAAGCATGTGCTCTACCACTGAGTTACATCCCCTGCCCCAAAAAGAGATCATAAAGGAAGATTTTCATAAATTAGATATTATCAAATTCTCTACAAGCAAAGCCACTGCAAATAAATTAGAAAATAAGGAATAGCTAGGTAAGATATGTAAAATATATCCAACCAATGAAGAACTTTAGAAGACCTTCTAAAAGTAGATTTTAAAGACAGGTGTGAATATAATCCCAGCTAAGACCAGCCTGAACTACATAGTGAGATCCTGTCAAAACAAACAGAAGAATAATAGATTTTTAAAAACATGTCTATGGGCTGTAGATGTAGCTCAGTGTGGTAGCATGCACCCTGGTTCAATTTCCAGTACTACACACATGCACACAAAACTTTCCTATAAACAAGAAAATGACAAACCAACAGAAATATGTGCAAAAAATGTGAACAGAAAGTGAAAAGAAAAAGAAATCTAAGCGGCTAAAGCACACATGTAAAAATTGTTCATCCCTGCTAACAGTCAGGGAAATGCACATTTAAATAATGGGGATTCATCATTTCATATCTAAGAGGTGGAAAAAATTTTAATATATTTATGAATTGTGTGGTGTAAGATTTTTTGTTTTTTGGTACTCACGACCTCATGCTTGCCAGACAGATGCCAATGAGCTAAATCCCCAACCCTGGAGCAAGATTTTAAGTTTGTTTTTCCTATATGGAAAGTCAAATTTTCCACACCATTTATGAAGGCCACTTGTCCCCACACTGATCTGTATTAGCCCCTGCCATGGGCTGAATATTTATGTCCCTCTAAAATTCACATGACAACTTTACCCTCAGTGTGATGGCATGTGGAAGGAGGCCTTTGGGAGGTAAGAAGAGACAGCGAATGAATTAAAGGGTCCTCGGAGAGCTGCCTCGCCCCCTTCCTCCGTGTGGTGACAGAGGCAGATGCCTATCTATGCGCCAGGGAAGTGGCCCTCATCAGACCCAATCTGCCAGCACCTTAGACTTCACAGCATCAGAAGTGCGAGAAATAAATTGTTGTCGCTTACAAGCCACCCAGGATAGTGCTCACTTTGCAGCACATATAGTAAGCCGCCTAATCTTACACAGCAACCTGAATGGTCTAGAACACCCCCTGACCATATATAAGTTCCCACATATTCTAAGGTCTGTAGCTGGACATTTGATTTTGTTCTGTTAACATACTTGTCTATCCTTGCATCAATAATATTATAACTCTAGAATCATACATATTTTAGAATCAATATACATCTTACACAAAAACCAACCAAACAAACAAAAAACTCACGGATTGCACTTTTTCTTCTTTTCTTCTCCATAGGCAAGGTTCTTACAGGTTTTGATGCATATTTCTAAACAATGAGTTTCGAAGCAATAACGAATGGCAAATTCTACTTCTCCAGTGACATTAGCGTTGTCAAAATTACCCATCTCTGTGCAAGTGCTGTTAAGGCTAATTATACTTCCCTGAAATCAAGAATGACAGATATAATAAATTGTAACATATCCAATAAATCATAATCCACACAGAGCATGTGTCCTGACTCACATTAGGTTAAAGCACCAGGTCATACTTTGCCAAAGGAAGTTGCATCCTAAGCGATAAGGAGTCTTCAGGAAGCTCTATCTTGCCCAGATACAGTCTTTGCCTAACAACAAAGGTTTTGAAATTCCACTTTTTTTTTTTTTTGTATTTTTGTATTTTTACCGGTTCCAGGGATCAAACTCACGACTACACGCTTGCAAGGCAGATGCTTATGCCGCTGAGCTAAATCCCCAGCCCCTGGAATTCCACCTTTTAACATGGACCATCTGGGATGAAGCAGACTATCTCCTATGCAGGGCTGCAGGATGGCTCTTGGCGGCACATAGCATTCATGATAGGACAGCACAGCATGGGGCTAAAGTGTTTGAGAGTGGGAATCAGACAGATTCAAATGCTTGCTCTGTAACCCACTGGCTGCATCAAAAACCTAACTGAGAACAAGCATCCTGCTCTTCTAGTGTTATGGTGAGAACTGAATGGAAGGAGGTGTGTGAAGTATGCAGTCAGAAGTAATGATAAATTGTGCTTACATTTGTATGGGTACCTAAAAACTATCATCATAAATCAGGGCACTCTAAGCTTAGATGATAGAGAGAAGGGTGCTTGGACTTAAAAGATGAAAAAAATTATCATTATTAAATTTGCTTAAACATTACCACAATTTGCATACAACCAGTTTCATGGCTGACTTCACAGAGAGAAACCCAACTTCTGCTTCTAATTCCCAACCAGTTCCTCCATATTTTAAAACACTAGGAAAGATTCCAGGCAGAAACTGTGAATCCCTAGAGAGAGATTTTTTTTTAAATCAAGCCAACAATTCCTCTGAGGAACTAGACCTGTTTAATCAATGTCAACCATATCCCAGCTTCATCACACCTGGCTGCTGGCTCTGAAAAGTGTCATCAGCCAGTGCTGCATGACTGCTGCATGGAAAACAACTTTAAAACCATACACACTCAAGAACACGTGGGATGGTCGGGAAGCATGAATGAGTGAGGTATGAAAAGTGAAGACTGGAAAGAATGGGCAGAGGAGGTTGGTCAAAGAAGTGAACTACTTAGGAGAGCAAGGCAGATGCGTGGAGGAGCTGAAGAATTCTGCTCAGAGAGCACTCTAGGTACTGTCACTGTGCTAACTTTTCTGCCAGGAACAATGAGAAAGCTGAGGGAGTTAAGTGTTAAACTGTCCCGGCACAGTGCGGAGCAGGCGCCAAGACAGTGAAGGAGAACAGAAGCCCACCGAAGGGAGCCTGCCGCTCACTTTTCCCTCTGCGGCTTTTGTGCAAGTGCAAGGCACACGAGGTTGGAAAACTGACAAGACGCTCACGAAAGAGCTGAGAGACGGAGATGCCTAACACAGTGCTGGGACAGGGAGGGGAGATAAAATCAGCACCCAAAGCCATGAAAGCATGCAGAACTCAAGAAGCTAATTTCTCAAAGAAAATGGGCATGGATTAGAAGGTGACCCCAGATGCTGCCTTCCCACTCAAGGAAAAGCAGCAACTCCACTTGGCTGCATCAGAGCCTGAGGCGGAGACACTGAGAAGCTTAGGAGTAAATACCATCTTGATAGAAAGAAAAAACAGTTTTGGGTTACCACAGAGCAGGGGCTGGGGGATATGCAGGCTTTCAGAGGAGCCCCTCAAATGCTTTCTTATTGGAAGTAAGGGTTGATGAGATGAGACCAGTGTCCTCGCAAACACTGAAAACCAGCTCTGCAGGAGCTCAGTCCCAGACTGGATAAAGACCATTTGTCTCTCCCCTAACTTCCCCTTAAACACAGAAGTAAACTCTGTAAAGGAAGAAAACTCTGTAAAAGTCTCAATTTATTCCAATTTTTTGTACATAATGTCCAACATTCAATCAAAAATTACCAGGTATATCAGGACCAAAAAGTGCCCAACTGTCCAAGTTTCTTCAGTCCTGAGAGTTGGCCTGGGATGTAGCACTTGAAATGCTGAAACCAAGAGAGTTTAGAATAAGCTAAGATGGTATAAGTGACTAAAAATATGGAAGAAAACAAAAATCCACAGCTGATCAGATATTGGCAACGTTTAAGACAAACTTGAAGATAAGGGTGATTAATAAAGTCAAGAAAATAAGTAACAAGATAATTTTTTCAGAGCCAGAGTCTATAGGAAAATGATCAAATAAAAATTAGGCCTAACATGTAAAGAACTAAAAAAAAATCAGACCCCCCCCCCCAAATTTAAAGATCCGATCCAAAAATGGACATCTGAGGTGAATACAAACTTCTCAGTGAAGAAGTAATGGCCAGGGATCTAAGCAGCAGCAGCATAAGCACCTGCCAGGCAAGAGCAAGGTCTTGAGTTTGATCCTATGCATAAAAAAGAAGGAAGAGGAGGAGAGGAAGGGAAGGAGGGAGGGAGAGGGAGAGAGAGGAAAGAAGAAAGGAAGAAAGGAAGAAAGGAAGAAAGGAAGGAAGAAAGAAAGAAAGAAAGAAAGAAAGAAAGAAAGAAAGAAAGAGAAAGAAAGAGAAAGAAAAAGAAACATAAAAAGAAAAAGAGAAAGAAAGAAAGAAAGAAGCAGCACAGGAGTAGGAAGAAGCAGCAGCAGCCGAAGCAGCAGCAGAGGAAAAAGAAATAGCAGAAAATAAATAAATAAATATATATATATATATATATATATATATATATATATATATATATAAGTTCAACATCACTGTTCATTGAGGAGATGTAAATTTTAAAACATTAGATCTAAAAATTAAGGTAACAGAAATTAAAGAATTCTACAAATTTACTTAAACTCAGATACCGCTGAAAAGAAGATTGGTGCACTGGAAGATGGATCAGTAGAAAATACATAGAGAAGAACATAGAGAAAATGATAAAAATAAAAGCGAAGAGATATATAGGATATAATGAAAATGTTTAATGTATACTTAGAGCCTCGCAAAGAAAAATGAGGAAGAAAGTATTTCAAGAGGTAATACGAATTTTTTAAGACTGACAAGAAACAATAAACCACAGATTCAAGAGTAACAAATAATTTTTAAATAATACTACCCACAGGCACATAATAATAAAATGTTGAGATGACAGAGGGGTTTTTTGTTTTTGTTTTGTTTTGCTTTTTGTTCTTTAACTAGAGATTGAACTTGGGGCTTTCATACTAAGCTGCTTCCTCAACCAGTTTTTTAAAAACAGGATCAAAGTTATTAAATTGCTCACGCTGGGCTCAAGTTTATAATCCTCTTGTCTAGGCCTCCCAGAGTGCTGAGATTACAGGCATACAACATCACATCTGGCTCTACACTTGACAGAGGAAGGAAAAAAAGGCAGATAGTTTACTGCTCAAAAGAAACAATAGAAGGCAGAAGATTTAGTTAATTTCAAAGAATTCAGGAGAAAAAGAGAATGAAGATGGAAATTCAAAGCAGGAGAAAACAACAGACCATAAATAAGTAATAGAAAAAATAGGAAACAAGTCAGTAGATTTAACAACAACAACAACTAATATATATATATATATATATCAGAAATTACAATAAAATACAACAAACTACTTCTTACAAAAAGTATAAAAATTATCTGCATTTTAAAATATCTAATTAGACTTCTGAGAAGGTGTCACAGTCATGAACAGCAGAAAAACAGCCTTTCTGAGATTTGGTATCAAATGCTAGAATATAACAATGTGAGGAAAAGGAGGAGAATGTGGGTCCCCAACACACAGCAAGGACCTGAAGCAATGGGGAGAGAAAAGAGAGATACCACAATGGAGGAGGAGGTGGTAAGTGGCATTTTCTCTCTGAGCTCTGACTCACTGTATGGGAAGGGCAGCTCAAACCTGCACATGCATGGTGACACTTCTGACCCCAGAGGCCTCCATAGAGAAACACACCAATGGAAAAGGAGCAGTGGTTGCAGCAAACTGCAGTGGCTCATGAGTTATTTGGGTTCAGATGTCCCCCAGGAGAAGGTGGTTGGCCAGTACCCATCCTGGAGAGAGAGGCCAGCTGAGCTTGGTGGCTCCCTCTACTGGCTCCCCATGTCAGGGCGAGAGTTCAAGTTGGCAGGAGGCCAAGGAGCTACATTCAAGCTGTCAGGAGGCACATGGAGTGTTGCAGGCTACACAAATGAAGTTTCAGCCTCACAGCCAGAAACCAGCCTGAACTTCAGTGTAACTAAAGTGCAGGCCTGCTGGGATTATCTGGTATCCCACAGTAAATGTAGAGCTGACTTTCTGGGATTAGTCAACATGGATCTGAGCTCTCTCTGCCTACTAGGTCTACCAATAATAGCAGAGACATACCTTGAAGTGGACTTTTTATTTTTAATCTTTTCTTGCTTTTTTTTCTCCCTGTTCTCTTTTTATGAGTGTGGACATTGTTTCTAGGTTGTCTGTTGTTTGGTTCTTGATTTTATCTCTACCTTCTCTCTTTCCCTCTTGTCTTCTTCACTAGTTTCCCAGAACAATCTTCCTTTATCCTCCAGGCTTGGTTATAATTATCCTCTTTTATTTTCTATTTTTTCCCTTAATCCCCTTTAAATTTTCTCCTCTGAGGGTAAAACTACCATGCAGAGGGCATATTTACTGTATATAATTTTCTGGTTTGCTCTAGATTTTTTTTAGTTCATACAATTAAAGGTGGCAAATAGTTATCACAGTTTGTCATTCTCTATGTTTGATGCTCTTGCTATTGCTGATTGTACTACTTTAGCCAAGGTGACATGATTGTTCTAATAAGTTTTTCTTCTTAGTATTACAAGATTGAGATTGCCTAAGAGTCATAAACAACAGTATAGGCCAGTGCCAAGGAAAAAAGGTGCTAGGCCAAACAGGCAGCAATTTCTCATCCTCAATAAATTGAAGAGGTACAATTTTGCAACAGACTCAAACCCAAAGGCCAATTACACCTGGAAAATATTGTTGAGACATAGTCATTTTCTAAG